TCAGATTTCACTAGTTTTCCCACTCGTGTCCTCCTCCTGTTCTAGGATCCCACATTCCATGTAGTCCTCATGTCTCCTTATGTCTGTGACAGTTTCTCAGACCTCATTTTTCAAGATCTTAACAGTTTCAGGGAATACTGGTCAGGTATTTTGTAGAATATCCCTCAATTTGGGTTTGTCTGATGTCGTTCTCATGGGTAACCTCTGTGCCCTTCAGGTCACATCATATCTGGGGTACATGCTATCAACATGACATCACTGTCACGTTAACCTGCAGCGCCTGGGCAAGGTGGTATTTGCAGGCTTCTCTACTGCAAAGTTCCTCTCTCCCCCTTTCTGTGCTCTGTTCTTTGGAAGCAAGTCACTAAATGCAGCCCACACGCTGCAAAGGGCGTGGGAGGAGGGAGTAAGCTACATAAAGTATTTGGAATTCTGTAATGAAGATTTGTTTCTTCTTTCACATTTATTTATTCAATCATTTATATCAGTTTGGACTCATGGATATTTATTTTATAGTGTGGATTTAATCTAATATGACATCATTTATTTTGTTGCTTAAGTAGTTCTGGTTTTGGCCATTGGGAGCTCCTGCCGGTAGTGTCCTATGTCCCTTTGACATGCCATCATCCTTTTATTTTTTTGAGCACTTCCTTACCTTCTGGCACTACAAGATGCTCCAGGCTCATCTGTCACTTGTCTTGCCCCAGAATCAGCCATTTCTCTAAGGACCCCTTGTTCTTTTTATTAGAGAATGATAATTTGAAACCAAGACCTAGGTGCTGAATGGCTTGTTGCTAGTGGGGTGTCAGTTATTCTAGGCCGTCTCAGCTGACAGAGCTAGAAATATGCATGCTTACCCATGTATGTTTTGTAACTGGTAGCTATTTACATATAAAAATGGAAATGGTTTATATGTACAAATTTTGTCTCCCCAACCTTAATAAACTGTTTCGTTTTCCTCTTTGTATCGTCTCGTCTCGGTGAATCCCACAACAGTCATGAAGACAGAACTATTATTATCCCCTTTGCAGAGAAGGAAACAGAGGCTCAGAGAGTTTAAGTAACACAAACGGATGACAGAGCCTAGGGAGGAAGCCTCAGACCCAAGGGATCTCACTTCAGAGGCCTGGAAGCCCTGCCCTATGCTTCATCCTGTGTCCTCATGACTGTAGGACCTGGCCAGGACTTCAGGAGGCTGATTGGTTACGATCAATTGGAGTCATTATGATGATGACCAAGGCCCCACAATGCACCAGGCATCTGAGTGGTAGGGGTAGCCCCCGTCCATGGCTCAAAGAGGTGAGATAGTGCTGGGACAAGTGGTGTGGAGTCCTCATTAATGGCCAGGACAGGCCATGATTAAGGGTCAGTGGTGTGGCCCAGGCAGCTGGGCCAGCAGAATCAAGAGCAAATGCCCCTGAGAGCTGAATGCAGTCCAGAGTGCTTGACCCCAGGAAAGGTCGAGAATGAAGCCAGTTGGGAAGAAGCCGTGTGAACAAAGGTCAGGGCATGGGGAGGACGCTCAACTGGCTGCTGCTAGGAGGCTGTGGGCAACGAACTGGGGGGAGCGGAATTCTCTCCTTGGTGCCTGGCCCTGCACAGGCCCTCTCAGCTGCCTCCCAACCCACCACAATTCTGTGGCTTCAGAGCTCAGCTTAGGTGTGTCATTGAGACTTCCTGAACCCCTCATCTCCAGCCAGGCTGGTGCCTCCTCCAGGCCCCCTTATCCCCCTAGGCCTGAACCAGCCCGGGGCTCCTATCTCCATCTGTCTGTGCCTGTCTCCCTCACAAGCCACAGAGGTCAAGTAGTGACCAGTCTGGCCACCGTGTCTCCAGTGCGATGTTCTGTCTGCTGAAAGAGCAGATGCGTGCATGTTTGGTGGGTGGTCCCTGAAGCACTAGATGCGAGCATGTGAGGAGGGCTGGAGAGACCCTGGGGAATAGGGATTGGGCTAGTGCAACAGCCTGGCAGCCTCTCCTTGGGGAAGGAGCAAGAGAACTGAAAAACTCCCAAATCCGCATCCTAGGCAGATGGGCAGCCAAGTCCCCCAGCTTGCTAGTCTTTGGGAAGCCTGACACAGGGCTTCCTACTCCTATCATAACTCAGATGAGCTCAGTTCCCATGGGTGACAGGGGCCTCCCCAAAGTCCCTCTCTACAGGGCCACAGGCTCCAGCTTACCACGTCCTGAAGGCCCTCTGGGACCTGGGCCCAGACAAAGTTGGGCTTCTCAGAAAGCCAGGCTTGGGAGTGCTAGGTCCTGGGTTCCAGTCCTCGGGCTGCTACTTCCCTGCTAGACAACTTTGGCCCAATCACTGCGTCCCTTCATATGGTCAGGGTTCTACACATCACAGGCCATTGATAAATGGGAACTGCTGCTAGTAATGCTGGTGTGTGAGTCTCCTGGGGCATGTGTGACGCCTGTGGAGTCCGCAAGACATTCCCAGCCCACAGAGCTCCCCATCATCCCAAAAACACAAATTGAGAAACTGCACTGGGATCCAAAGATGCCTCACACACAACCCTGGTTTGTGGTTCCCGAAGAAGCACTGCCCAAAGAAAAGGGCACTCTGTCACAAAGGGAAGCAAGGAAAGGTGTTCCAGAGGGAAAACACCCCAAACTGGCCCCCAAGGGTGGGCAAGAGCACCCTCAGCAGCAAGAAGACCTTAAGGAAGACCCTCCTGGGGTTAGCCCCACAATAAGCTTAGTTTATCTACTCCCCACTTTTTCTTTTTTGTGTCCTTTTTGAGACCGGCTGCACCACACTCAGCCAGTGAGTGCACTGGCCATCCCTATATAGGATCCGAACCCGCTGCGGGAGGGCTGCTGCGCTCCCAGCGCCGCACTCTCCCGAGTGCACCACGGGCTCGGCCCTACTCCCCACTTTTTCCTGAAAAGAATTAAAGCAGCTCACAAAACCCAGAAGCCTGAAAAGTTAAAAACCCAAAAGTCTGAAAAGTTAAAATGTGAGATGGAAAATCAAGTGAAGAAAAAGAAATCACGGCAGGAAAAAAAGATAAAGCCAGGGGGTCTCCACTCACTGAACTTGAAGACCTGAAGACTTGCCAGAGGTGATTTTGAGCTCCCTAATGGCTAAAGAGAGGAGTGAAAGCAGACCCGACCCAGGCTCCTGATCCAGCGAGGTAGGATAAAAGCACACCCACTGCTCTGGAGAAATAGCCTCTGGTTGCCATCACCTGCTCCCTGGAGGATGCACCTCCTCCCCACGTGGGGGTTTAGCTCTTCCTTCTCCTTCCTCCACTTCCCACAGGCTGGGGTGGGTTTGTGCTCTTCAGTTCCTAGATCTCATATGTTCTAGAACTTTCTTTCCTGAGGCAGAACTTCTTTTTCTTTTTTTTTTCTAAATCCATCTCAGCATCCTGGGAAGCAGTAAGATTTGGGATATTTGTTGAAGAGATGAATAAATGAAATCCTTGCTCAGTGCAGAAGCATAGAGATGTCTGTGCATTTCACCCAGTCCCTGGGCATCACCACGCAAAGGTCTAAGATGTGGGACTGGGGGGGGGGGGGGGGGGGGGGGGGGAGGAGGGCAGAGGGTGGGGGCTGAGCAAGCCCGGACTTTCCCAGCTGTGATGGGGAAGCAGCTCCAGGGAGCGGGGACTTGGGTTCTGGGAGTCTGGTTAGGTGGCTGCACCCCTTTGAGGGAAGCTACGAGTGGGAGACCCACACAGGAAACATGGCCTTGGCAGTGAGGGAGGTGGTGTCGGCCAATTTCTGGATCTTTCTATATTTATTCACCTCCAGCCTTTCTGGGACAGGGATTTGGGGCTAAGCTGCTCTGACTCGGTGTGTGCTGGACTCAGCACCTCTGTCCCCACATCCCCTCGGGGATGGCCGTTTGAAATATTGTCTAGTCTATTTACCCCTGCGGGCAGGAGGGCGGCAGCAGCGGCCTCAGAGGAGGCTGCAAGGCTGCGGGTCGGGGGGTCCCCACTATCCTCCTAACCTTGGAGATTCCCCTCTCCTGCCTCAGTTTCCTCTTCTCTCAAAGGTAATACACGGTTGAGGCTGTAAGTTCAAAGATCACGTAGGTAACAGCTTAGTAAAGGGTCTGGCACATAGTAGGTTCTCAAGAAACAATGGAAGCCCCGAGAGGCGTCTTTCTTTGATGGATGCGAGGCAGAGCCCCAGCGCAGTGCGGTGATTCGCCCAAGGTCACACAGCTGGGTCCACTTCCACCCGACCCTGGGCGGCCTGACTCCAGGCGAACGGGGTTTGGGAGCCAGCTCGGGGGCGAGCGGTGTGCGGAGGAGCAGGTGCGGACGTGAGTGGGAAGGGACTTCTATTTTGGAGGTGAGAGGAGCGCAGTACGGGAGGGGGATGGGGTCCTCCCCAGGCTCCCTGCCCCCCCGTGTCACCTTCCCACGACCCTTCCCGGGAGGGGTGTCCCGGGAGAGTAGAGGGAGGTGGGCTGGGGGCGGGGGGCGGTTACCTCATCGCCGCCTCCGGGAGGCCCCGCTCGCTCGCTCGCGCC